ATACCACACTCCCTCCTCCTCTCCAGACAAAGCATACTCTCATCACCTTCCAGCGTCTGGGATCTCCTTCTCCGGTCCCCCCGCCACAGAGCCGCCTAAGTGAACGGATCTCGTCAGTCCACGGCCCTAGAGTCTTCTACAGCTTCCATCACATTCGGAATCGTGTCTATTTCTTAGGTGGAAAGCAAGGTCCTTCATGATGTGCTCCCAACTCAGCTACTCAGCCCCACCATCACCACACATTGCCCACTTCCCTCTGCGGCTCTAACAGTGGTCTCTGGACCTGACCCACCTTCTCACTATCCTCTGCTTTTCCACATGCTGTCCCCTTGCCTTCTCCACTTGGTCCCCCATCCTGCCTATTCACCCTTCAGAACCCAATTCCAACGTCATCTCCTCGGGAAAGTCTTTCCTGACCCGGCTTCTCTCCCTCACCGCCCCGTCCCCCCACCCAGTGCCAAGCGTCTCACACATGATCTCTACAAATATCTAAGAGTACTGCCCGCTCAGCTCTGTCCCTCACTGGGTTGTGAGGTCCTTGCAAGCCAGGACTGGGTTTTTCTGCGGTTTTCTTCCGGTACCTTGCCTGTTTTCGTAGTTCCCAGACGTAGTGAGCACCCAGATATGTATCCAGCAGTCCTACCTGTGAGAATAATCCCAACATATACAAAAATGTACAAGAAGGTTTGCAGACAGAGAGAGAGAGAGAAAGAGAGAATGTTTGCAGCAGCATTACTTTGATTAGTCCCTGGAAATAACCCAAATGTCTGTTAATTAGAGAACGGGTAAGTAAACCATGGCATTTTAAACAAATCAATCCTATGTAACCATGAGAATGAATGGTTAAATGTTGTGAATGGATCTCACAAACATAATGTTGAGTGAAAGCCAGACACAAAAGAGGAAATGATGTATAATTCCATTCATACAAGCTTAGAAGGAGGTGGGAGTCACCTATGGTGCAAGAAGTCACACGAGTAGTTCCCCTCGAAGGTACAGGGTAAGAGGTGAGGGCATCTGGAATCCCAGGAAGCTTCTGTCACGTGACCTGGGTGCTGGCCGCATGTACATTCATCCTCCTGCTTCTAAGGCCTCTGTCAACGGACGTGAGCCTCTTGGCCTGCGCTTGTCAATCAAACCTTCCGTCAGCCCCATTGATTCACGTCACTGCTGCAGTTGAAAACTGGGTATTTTTCTTTTGGTACAAGGATTGTGCTTAATTATCTAAATTAACATCTTTCAGCTGGTGGGGGTTTTTTCCCTCCAGATTTTAAGGGGTCCAGAAACACCAGACTACGGGACGTTTTCAAAATTAGATTTGCTCTGTAAACAAACAGACCAATGTGGAAACGGAGCCTGGCAGCCCGTGTCTGAGCTGGCTGCAGCCACCCTGGTCGGCTTGGCTCAGCGGTTAGAGCGTCGAACCTGCGGACTGAAGAGTCACGGGTTCGATTCCGGTCAAGGGCATGTATCTGGGTTGCAGGTTCGATCCCCAGTCGTGGTCATGCGGGGGGCAACCAATTGATGTGTCTCACATTGATGTTTCTCTTTCTCTCTATCCCGCCCTTTAAAAGAATTAAAATGGCTGCAGCCCCCCGGCTGCCACTGCCCATGGCCGCACTGCAGCAGCCCCCAGCGAGGCAGGGGTCCCAGGTCTCCCCTGGTCACAGTGAAGGCCCTTCAGTGTCCGCTCCGGTGGGGATTCCACTGCCACCCCCCACATTCCCTGCACTTTTCCTCCTAAACACTCTACTGCCCAAAACAGAAGCGGGGGCTCTTGAGTCTGTGTGTGGGGGTTTGGTGGGAGAATGAAAGGGGGTTGGTAGCGCCCCACAATGACCACCCCCGAGTTCATTTTCCTATTGGCTATAAGGTGGGAAAGGGTGGAGAAGGTGCTCAGAGCGTCTCTCCAGGAACAGCACTGGACTTTCTTTTAGGGAGGTGGTTGGGGAGGGCCCCTCGTGAGGCAGGGCGTTAGAGCTGAGCCCGTGTGCAGTGACACAGGACCGAGCCTCGCCACCAACTCGTCCCCTTCACCCGTCCTCTGCGCTCCTGAGGTCTCTTCCTCTCCTCTCCGCCTTTTTGTTTGGGTTCCTGAAAGGGCAGCGCCTCTGCTTCTCTGCGTAGGTGAATTCTCTCCATCCTCCAAGGTCCAGCTCAAACCCCACCACCTCCGGGAAGCCCTCCTGGACGACGTCAGCCAGAAGTGGTTTCCCCCTTGTCTGAATGTTTAGAGTCCCTGATGACTGACATTCTAAAGATGATTGACAGTGATAATAACATTGACAGTGTTTTTTATACTTTGGGCACTATTCTTGGCACTTGTATAAAGTCAGAATCCTTATGACGACTCCATAAAATAGGTTGTGTTATTATTCCCATTTTACAGATGAGGTCCTGTCGTGGTAGCAAAGTCCCTCATCAGATCAGAAGCTCCACTGACCATCTCTTTCACATACTGACTTGTTTCTTCCACAGCACGAGGCTCGGGGACTTGCATCGGGAACTGTTCAACCCCCACTTGTTCATTTAATTATGAGTTTAATCAGGCTCGAGGCCATGAAAACAGAATTTGAAAAGCATTTCTGTCGTCATATATGCTTCCTTTCATTTCTGCCCACATGGGGGCTGTGCGGTGGAGTAGGCGGGACCGATAAAGTCTCAGTAATAAAAACAAGTTCTTGGTTGGACTGTGCTGTGTGGCAGGCGCTGTGCTACGTCGTGTATGTTCATTGTCCCCCTTGATCTCAGCTTTTCTCTCCCAAAAGGATTTGGGGGAGATTACAGAATGCTTGCAAAAGGATCGAATGAGTAGATGGAGGCATTGTAGCAAAGGAAATACAAGTGTAGGAAGTCAAACAAAACCCTGGGTTCAGTTATCCCCCAAGAACGGATGCCCTGGGGACCCTCCGTTGGAGGTGAGCCACAAATGTGGCTCTGGGCTTCCTAGTGTTTATGAAAAAAGGAGGGGGCAGGCACAGTCAGTGACAACACCCACATTGCCTGTAAGGTAAAGACAAAGCAGCTATTTAGAACAAGCACACATAAATGTCACACCAAACCATTTCTTGTTACAATTCTCAGCACAGCCCAACCCCATCTTGCCGAAGCGCAGAATGGAAAACATTCAAGGAGGAGGCAGACCTGTTGGGTCTAGGCATGTAATATAATTTGGTTAACTTCATCTATCTGAGAGATGGATGGACTGTACACATCACAGGAAATTCTCTATGGATGTGATTTCTCACGACTGAGTGCTCTGTAACCTGCTCCAGACACTTACCTTCCCACTTTCAACTAAAAGCTGAGTAGGTGAACCAAAAGCACCACCTATTAACATCCTATAAAACCGGCATGCCCAGGGACAGCCTTTGGAAAAGCCAGTGTTCTGGGTAACGCAGAGCTTTAAAAACTGAATGAATTTTTGGTGGGGAAAACGCAATTCAAACTTCTTTGTGTGACGTATGATGCTTTTCACAATGGAACCTCAGCCTGCTTTTCCAGACCTGATTTCTTGTCTCCTCCTCCCCAGAAGCTTCATGCTTCACCTAAATCAAACTGCAAAGAATTTCGTGGATATGCTCAGTGCTCTCACTCACTGAGACCTCAAAGGTGGTCTCTTCGCTCTTCGCTCTCCCTTCTCCTCTAGCTTCTCCGCCTACTGGGTCTTGAAGGACGTCATCCTTTCTCTGAACCCTTCCTGAATTCACCTAACAATCTTACCCTTTACTCGGTTCCCATAGCACCTTGCTTGTATCATATTTTATTATTCCCTTTATTAGCTTTGCTGATTTTTCTGCCAAACTGTGAACTCCTCCAGGGCGGATGTGTCTTTGTATCCCAGCTACGGGGACATAACCTGGCCTGGATTTATCGCACCAAATATTTATTGAGCGCATCCTGTACTGATGAAGCAAGCTGGGACAATGTCCATCCTGCAGTGCTAAGTAAAAGACATGAGTCACTCCGTGGTGACCCAAATATGTTTCCACTATTCTCTGAAGCCATCCAGAACTGTGTAGCTCGATGACTCGATACGGCTTGATACAGAAAAGGATGACCCAGGACATAGGTGGAACCGATTCTCCAGAATTCTTCTTTTTTCTGATCTCAGTATATCCTAGATTTGAAAAGCTCCAAAGAAGTCTGCACTTGTATATTGCCATTTATTCCAAGTATCTTCTCTTGTTTGTACAACATCTGCTATGCCAAGAACTTGACGGAATCATATTCAGCCTGTGGATGCATGGCTTCATCCACCAACAAAACATGTGCCCCTGACCAGTGAGACGGAGCGGTCCTCCCAGGAGACCTGGCTAATGTTACAGCAGAGCTAAGAGGAAAGTCGGGGGCCTTGGCGGGGGGGGGGGGGGGCCTACTCCTCCATGAGTTCCTGAGATGAATAAGGCATTTAAGAACTAAGTTTCCAAATTTCGTTGTCATTAAAAAGACCTTTTTTGAGTGGAGGCTACAGTGAAGTATATGCAAAGTTGACCTTATCTCTGGACTCCTGGAGCTTTGGATCGGCCATCCATCACAGAAAGCCACACCGGGACATCCGGAGCCACACAGCGCTGCGCAGAGAACATCTCCGTAGACGCAGTTCCAAGACGGCGCTGAGCAGTGGAAGCATTTTGGATACAGAAATTGGAACCCGTGTGTGAAAAGTCACTTTACATCAAGTTGCCTATGATTATAGATCACCCGGCCTAACAAGTCTATTTTGCTTTGTTGTCTGTCTCTGCAGAATAGAATGATGCTAGCAACATTTGTTATAAAATGTTATTTTCACTTTCTTCTACACAATAGAACCCATGTAACTTCCAGCAGAAGGTGGATCTGGTGAACAAGGGCGAGGAAGTCCAGGACTTTACAAATTCTGCATTTTCCCCATTTCAGATTGAAAAGGCTCACCAAACTTATGTCAAGAGTTCATTGTGTGCCATACTTCAGCTGGTACTGGAGAAAGATAACAAAAATCACATCTGTATTCATGTGGAGCTTACACATGAGAGGAAAGACAGATGAGCAAAGATATGAGTTCAGTCCGATATGATGTGATGCCGTGAGTACTGTGGAACTCAGAGAAGGCTCTGAGGCGAGATCCAGAGGTTCTCGGACGGGGCTGAGTTGGGAAGATGCATGACGAGCGCGCCGTACATCAGCTTGAGAAAGATGATGGGAAATGAGAGCAGCAGGGGTCAAGAGGAGGATCTGGGAGGTCCCACAGATTAGTGAGCAGGTGGAGGAAGGGACTTTGAAGGGGACCACAAAGTGATGAGAAAGGAGCCAGTAGCACAGGAGAAGGGAGCACAGGCGCCTGCAGAGAGCAACCAGGGAGAGAGTCACAGTCAACAGCAAAGGCAGAGGTGCCAGGATGGGAGCAATGCCCCCAAACAGATGGGAGGCCAAGAGTATGGGTGGGGAAGTTGGCCCTGAGTAAGTGGAAGAACCGCTAATCCTCCAACACAATGGAAAGATCCAAGATTGGGAGTCGCGCTAGGTAAAGAGGTAGGTAGAAGCACCAGGGACTGTGTAGTCCAGCCCGGATGGTTTTAGTTTGGGGCTTGAAGTAGGCAGCAAAGCCACCTGCTGATGTGAGGCCACAGGGGCTGGGAAAGGGCCAGAGGAAACGGTAGTTTGGGAACATCAGAGAAAGATGTAGAAGAGGAGAATGTTACTGGGGCTGGGGGACGGAACGCTGGGTTCCTGCCGTTGTGGTTTCTCCCACCTGTGAGCAGAAGCCCAGGAGACAGGCAGAGAATAGCAATACATATTTACTGAGCATTTAAGAGCATCTTCCTAGATTGTGGTAGGCAGAATAATATTCACCTCCCAAAGATGTCCACATTCTAATCCCTGGCGCCCAAGGCCTGTGAATGTGCTCCATCCTATGGCAAATGGGAATTCAGGTCACAGAGGGAGTTGAGGGTGCTGGTCAGCTAACTTTCAAATAGGGAGATTATCCTAGACTATCTGGGGGGGCCCAATGTAATAATAAGGGTTTTTATCTGTGAGAGGAGGAAGGCACAAGGCAAGAGCAGATAAATGCGATGTGAGAAAGACCCAACCTGCCACTGCCCACTTTGGAGACAGAGGAAGGGCCATGGGTCAAGGAATGTGGGTGTCCTCACAGCTACAGAAGGCAAGGAGGTGGATTCTACCTTAGCGCCTCCAGGAAGGAATGAAGCCCCCACAACACCTCGATCTAGCCCAGACCTCTGACGTACAGACATGTAAAATAATAAATTTGCATGATTTCATTTTACAAATTTGTGCCATCTTGTTAGAGCAACAATATAAAACTAAAACACAGACATGTTTTCTTTTCATCCTCTCAACAGTATTTGACTAGCTGGGCAGTTTGGGGAGTTGATCCTGGTTATAGACCCGGATATTGTTGGGGGGGCCTGGGAACAAATCTTGAGGAAAGAACATTATCATCTGACAGGATGTCGGCCTTAAGGGAAACCTTTGACATCTTGTTTAGGCAAGGATGAACGGCGCACTTCTGATGGCCCAGAGGCTTCAAGGGATTCTGAAGACGCGGAGCTCTCAATTTCTTCCGTCTAGATATCCCCACCCTATGTTTCGGGGTCCTATTCTTTCCTTATGGAGGCCCTGACTTCAGCCCGCGAGATTTGGCAGGGCTGCGTATTAACCCTTCTCTGCAATCTGACTCTCACAGTCAGGTCCTGAGCATGGTTTGCAGCCCAATCTGCTTCCCGCCTACAGCAGGACAGCGTCTCTCGAGGTGCCAAGAGACAGGCCTTTGGGTAGCATATTATGCCCTGAACGAGTGGTTGATGAAGTTGAGCCTGCCAACTCCACAGCCCTCATAATTACTACTGGTACCATCCCTCCCAAGCATTAGCAAGTTTGCGACTGCCAGTATCCCATCCCGCTTGGCCCCAGGGAGATGCTCCGTGGCTGGGATATTGCGCGTCTGGCAGGAACACGACTCCCTCCCTGCAGCGGCACCATTTCCAGGAGCGTCTGCTACATCTTAGATTAAAAATAATTTTACTTCAAAGTCAAAACAAAATACCAAGGAACACAGAAGCCAGAACTCCTAGATAGACGCCAATGTGCTTGTGTTTTACAAACGAAACGACAGTTAGTAACTAAGAGAGGCCCAGCCGTTTCCAGCAGTCAAAGAAGCTGAGGAACTCGAACCAGTATCGTTACTAAAATGTTGTGTTCTACCTTTGCCTTCCTTGTAGTGACTTTTTTTTTTTTAAGAATGCTAATCTCTACTTTGGTTTGCCATCACTTTTTCTCGTTTTCGTTGTTCTAGAACTTTGTCAGTAGTGCTATGGGCGCGTCCAGGGATAAGGAGGAACGTAGTTAACCCATATGTCGCATCACTGCACCTTTCGAGGGGCCAAGCACGATGGCTTCTGCGGGCTCTGTCGGTCTCTCCCCTCACCTCCCTGTCCTTAGAACAGCGGAACAGGCTTGGGGTGTACAGTGAGAAACCAGGCCTCCGTGCCCAGGTTTGTCCTTTCTTGCCTCTGTGTGCCTGCCTAAACTGTGCTCCGAACCTCACTTCCATGCCTTCCACAGGGAGCATCATAAAATGCACACGACATCTCTCCGCTCTGCTCCTGCTCCCCCCGTCAGCCCTGCTGGGTTTCTGCACCATGCCAAGCTTTTCTCCCCTGCAGGGATTCTGTTCTTGCTTTTCCTCTGCCTAAAATACCCTTCCTGCTGCTCTCCAAATAGCTGGCTTCTCCTTCTCTAGGTCTCAACTTAAATGTCACTTCACTTAAATCCTAGCGAGCCCTTCCTCGTCCGTTCTACCTGGACTGGATCACCTCATACATCTCACCATCCCTGAGCGCTGCTTCCTGTATAATACACGTAACATTCTGTAATTATTTAATTTACGTCTATATATAATTTATGGTCTGTGCATTCAGCTATAATGAGACCTTAAAATGCAGTGCCTGTTAGTTAAAAAAAAAATAAAAATAAAACGTGTGAATCTACTTCGGTGAGCTTTAGGGTATTAATGATGCAGTATATCTGAAAAGGATTTAAATTGTATTTTTGTCTGTACCAAATACTACACGCAAATATATTTCATAATGTTCAAAACTGTTCCATAGTGGATTAATGATTTGATTTTACACAAAGTAAGCATCACCTCTATTAACTTCCTGGATTTTTATTGTATAGCAATGTTTCAAATGCTCATGTCCGTAATTCCTACAATATTTTCTTGAATTGTGTCAGTTATTTTATCCTTAGCAAATAAATTAGGTGCAAATTTTGAGTTGTGAAAGCATGACATATTCTGAGAACTCCAAGTGTGTGAATGATTATACATGAAGTGAGGAATTACTTTCTCCTTTACCCACCAGCCAAATTGTTCAAATTCCTTTGATGCTGGGGTAAAGTGAACAAGGTCGTGTAGGACTGAAATAAATACACCTCTGAAATGCCAATCACAGAGGTTCCCATTGGATATGCATCAGAATAAGATACTTGCCACTGTCACATGATTTGTATCTATAATCAGCAAACTGTGAGGCTTAAAGGTCAGGTACTGGTTGACATTCTCTAGCATGCTGAAGGAAGGGGGTCATGACCTTCCACAGCCACAAGCAATCACTTCGGGTCCATTTCTTCTCAGCCACCTGGAACATCAAATCAAGAAACATCTTTGGAAGGCTCACATTTTGAACTGCAAAGTAACACCCAAATCATCTGGCTATTACATGCAGAGCTGGAGCAAGGGGAAATTCATTAAGCAGTGCATTTTTAAAGGAGAAATTTGGCTTGTATCTTTCAAATGTGCAGTGGAAGAAACTTATGTTGAAAATCTTTTCCAGAAAGGAAATCCTTTGTGATGGCAATCCTTTCGACAGTTTGATGATTGTATGTCCTAGGGTCATCATTAGAAATACACAGAATGGACGTGTTGGTCTCTAAAGAACACGGAATTTCTGCCATTGACCGCAAGTCCATCTCCAGGTAGCAGTGTGCTGCCTCTCACAGGCACAGGCTGGCCTCCGATCCTTCAACAATTCCCCGAACTACACGCTCCTAGATTATTTCCACAGGAATATAAGGCGCAGGATATCATTCAAAGACTCAGTAATTGGCTGCACGTCTCTGAGTTTCATGGCTTTTCATTTCACGTGGGTCCAGATGGGAAAGAACGCTATTACCTATCACATTTTTATTTCTTTATTGATTTTTAGAGAGAGGAAAGAAGAGGGAGAGAGAGAGAGAAACATCGATGAGAGAGAGCATTGATTGGCCGCCTCCTGCATGCCCCCCACTGGGGATCAGGCCCAAAACCTGGGCATGTGCCCTGACCGGGAATTGAACCAGCGACCTCTTGGTGCATGGGTTGATGCTCAACCACTGAGCCACACTGGCCAAGCGGTGATCACATTTTGAATATCTGCAATATACCAGGTGCTACTGCATGTATTATTTCATTCAGCCTTCTCCCTAACATACTAAGATTTTCTTTCTTCTTCTTCTTCTTCCTTTTTTTTTTTTTTTTTTTTGCAATGTTGATGGCAAGGAAATGGAGACAAATCACCAACGGGCAAAAACTAGTAAGTACAGTAAAACCTCTATATAACAGAGTGATTTGGGAGAGGGGTTGTCCCTTAAAGCTGAAAGTCTGTTATATAATAAAGTAGATTTTTCCAAACACATATGTTAAAAAATTAGTTTACCTGTTTTTACTTACATAGACACATTTGTGTATTTAAAATTAAGTATGTATGAAAAGTTTAATTTCACTGAAAATTTTCTATATTTATTAAAGTAATTTTAAATTTATGCTGACTAGGTCGAGTAAATGCCTGCATTCACATGTGCAGATGGCTGGGGCGTGGCTTATCGCACGTGGAACATCGGCCAGCAAGCGTGAGAATTGCTGCGGAGCCCTGGCCGGTTTGGCTCAGCGAGTAGAGCACTGGCCCTTGGTCAGAAGGGCTGTTGGTTCAATTCCCGGTCAAGGGAAAGTACCTGGGTTGCAGGTTCCATTCCCCACCAGTCTCTCACATTGATGTTTCTCTCACTCTCCCTCCCTTCCCCTCTATCTAAAAAACAATGAGAAAATAACCTCAGGTGAGGATTAACAAAAAACTGCTGCAGAAAGTCACCCATGCGATAATAGAACCAATTCCTGAGCACCCGATGCGTTGTGATCATGTCATAATCAATCCCTGAACATGTTTACGAACAATGACTCTTAGATTTAAATATGTAGGCTATAGTATATAGACATATAATAATTATTTATGTTGGTAAAATTATTACAGTGTTTTTTTCCAATGTATGACCTATTCACTAAAATCTGTTAAAAACTAACAGTGAATTAGTAATAAAAAAAAACACATTAATTTAATTATGAGCAAATCTCAGTTAAAAGCATTTTTAAATTAACTGGGTGTTAATTTTCACATATGACATACAGACTGGAAATGTCCGTTAAATCCTAAATCTGTTCAGAGTCCACACAATCGGAGGTTTACTGTACCAGAGCATGCACACAAACCCATCTCAAATAGGCTCCCAGGCTCACAATCTTCACACGACTCTGCTTTTCACTGGAAGCCTAGTCAATGTCAGCCTACTCTCCCCAGCAATGTTAAGGCCAATGCTTGGAGCAGGGCAGGCTGGGCCGCTGGCCTCTGTAGAATGCTCCGTTTCTAAATCTAAATTCAGCTCCCTGGAGAGGGTCCTCTCGGTGGCACACAGCAGTACCTATTGACATCTCCGGCCAGGGAGCAGTGCCGCCAGGGAAAGCCAAGCTGAGTCCGCTTCCATCACTGTTGACTGTCAGAAAATGAAGGGCTCCCCCTGAGCACTGTGCGCTGGAGCCATCTCTAGCGAGGACTCCCCACAGCGGCAGTGGCTCTCATTGTAGCTCCCCGAAGTTGCTCCTTGCCATCCGGGTCCTCCCTCCTCGCCATAAGACTCTTGGTGGCAAATAGCCAAATCATCAGCATGGTCCTTTATGAGCTTTCCGGCCTCAGGTAGCTTGGCTGCCCAATAGGTCGTTCTAAATAAAGCCACACAGCTCTTGGGAGGAAATTTGCGATTTCTTTGCAAATTTCTACTCAGAGTCATACTCTTGACTGCCCACTCAGCCCTGTTTTACCTTGCATGGAGCCAGGAAGTGATCAGACTTCTCCAACGGGGACTACTGTCTAAGGAGACAGGATTAGGGAACAACTTTCTTCTAGAAGTATTAGATTCTGGTTTGTATAAATACGAAATGCTGTAAAAGTCTTAGACTTCCTCTCCTTGGGGCACAGGAACATCTAAACAAGTCAAGACCTCAGAAGAGCCCAAGAAATTCTTTTGTACTTCAAATAGATTATTAAAATGCAATACTATTAGAAATATGGTCTGATGCAGGCCACATACTAAACTTTTTTCTCTCTCTTCTCTCTTTTTTTTTTTTTAGAGAGAGAGGAAAGGAGAGAGAGAGAGAGAGAGAGAGAGAGAGAGAGAGAGACAGAAACATCAATGAGAGAGAACATTGATGAGAGAGAACATGGACAGGCTGACTCCTGCATGCCCCACACTGGGAATCAGGCCCACAACCTGGGCATGTGCCCCGACCGGGAATTGAACTGCCGACCTCTTGTTTCCTGGGTCGATGTTCAACCACCAAGCCATACCAGCTGGGCTCTCTCTTCTCTTTCCTATGATAATTTGATCTCTCCTAACTTGAAAGAAACTCTTTGTTTGATTGAACCGTTCTCTGGCCTTTTACTTTCTGGATTAGAGATGAACCTGGTTCAATTCCCTCATTTCCTCATCTTCTTGCAATTGTATTTCTTATCCCAAACTCCAATATTCTTGGACTCTAGGCAATCCCCAAAGCATTCTGAAGTCCTCATTTTCCTTGCCCTCTCTCAAGAATTTTCCAGGAGAGAAACCACAATTTCTGGCCAAAAACCAGCACCGTCTTTCTAGTCACATGAGGGAAGCAGACCCTCCAGCCCTTAGTTAATTACCACCAACCACCAGCTACTCCCAGCTAACACTGCATGGAACAGAGACCAGCCTTCCCCACTGGGTCCTGCCCAAAAAGAAGATTTAGAAAAAAAAAAAAATACATATTGCTACTGTTTTAAGCCACTGTTTAACTAAAACATGTGACTTCAGCCCAGCTGGTGTGGCTCAGTGGTTGAGCATGTACCCATGCACCAAGAGGTTGCCGGTTCAATTCCCGGTCAGGGCACATGCCCAGGTTGTAAGCCTAGTCCCCAGTGGGGGGCATACAGGAGGCAGCTGGTTGATGTTCTCTCTCATCGATGTTTCTCTCTCTCTCTCTCACCTTCTCCCTTCCCCTTTTTCTAAAACCAATAAAGAAAAAAAAATATGCAAAAATAAATAAATAAAACACTTGACATCAACCCTACAGGGCCTGACCCTCCTCTGATTCCTTCTGTACTATTAATCTGTCATTGAACTACCCTGCCTTGAGTTAGAAGTAATTTTTTCATGTGTTTAGAGAATGTATTACCTGCTTGATTAGTATCTCCTGAGAGGTATCTTGTACAACATTTGCCTTTTAGCACAGTGACTTTCTGGGCAGTAGATACTCTATAAATACTTCTTTGTTAATCAAATCAGAGTCTATGTGTTCAATAAGATAAAATAATTTCTTAGTGTACCAGTTCTTCAAACATGAGACATGGTGCACAGCAGATATAGTAAAACTTACTCAGAATCTGAGTAGGTAAACACAGTGACATTTAAGATACCAAAATATCTACATTCTAGAGAATGCATATAGTCACCAATTCTTCAATCCTTTGAAATGGTTATTTAATGCTACACTGGAACTTGATATCTAAATTTTGGAATTTATCTATAGCCTCATCACTCAATGTATTAATTGATTAATGAATTACAACACAAATGAAGCAAGTTTGCAGTTAATGAGCTACAAATAGTCAATTCGTATATAATAATGATCACTAATAGCCAAGTTTGTTAGATCTGGGTTTGTTCTAATATTTTGTATTCATGCAAATTTGTTTCCTTTATCCTAATCAGTTAAATTTCATCTAAAGATAATTGGAGAGAGATGACTTCTGGAATAGCAGCATAATGAGCTTTGCAAACTCACTTCCCAACAACTGGTAAAAACCAACAAGTGTTTAAAAATCTCAGTAAACTGCCTAAGGGAATATAGCAAATGATGAAACATTTACTCAAGAAAATCCACAGAATCTTGATAAGAACAGTAAGAGACTATGTCACTGAGTCATGACCTACTCCCTCCTTGGTACCCCAACCCCAGAGCAGCATGACAGACTCTTCCCTCCAGAGATCTCTCCTCCCAAGCTATTAGTCAAATGCTGTAGTATCTTTGACCAAATGATTAGTGGTAAAACAGTAATCATATAGTCTAACACTTGGGTATGTGAATTTTACCTCTCACAATAGGAAATGTCAACTTGAAGATAGCCAAACCAGCTTCCTTAGTACAGGATTTCTCAGTGCCTTCAATATGCCTATGAGCCTTGACTATCCTTAAAGTTCATAGTATTTCCCAAACTCATTTGGCCAGGAGTTTTTCACAGAGCATCTCATAAAACTAATGTTCTATAAAACACACTCTGAGAAACACTGGTGTAGCCCAGCCCATTCATTTTACTCACAGGAAAATTGGGGTTGAAGGAGGCGAAGTGACTTAAGTTATTGAGAAAGCCAGAACTTGAACCCCGATCTCCTGCCTCTCAGGTACCCTTTGCTCAATGGTAGCACAGTTGTCCTGGGTTGACTCATGATGGACCGCTCATTAATTATGTAAACCTGTTTTTTGTGATTTAGATGTGTCTCATCCTCCTTCAATGTCTAAACCAAGAGGATGAAATGTTTGTATCATTCCCATGATCTGTCAGCTGGTAGGAGAAGAAGCTAAATAAAAATAAGGAAAAGATGAGTTAATAGCTCAGCCTGCTGGGTGTGACAGAGGTGGCCAGCTGTACAGCAAAACATCATGCTCCCTTGCAGGTATGTACAGATCTCACTTGCAGGCAGGTATGGCCATGTGAAAAGTTCTCTCTCATGGGCTCACAAATGTTTTATTTTTTATTAAATTTATTGGGGTGACATTGATTAATAAAGTTATATAGGTTGCAAGTGTACAATCCTACAATGATACATGATCTGTATATTGTATTGTGTGTCCACCACCCAAAGTCAAATCTCCTTCCGTTACCATAAACGCAGCCCTCTCTACCCTTCAATTTCTCCACTCTCTCTTGCCCCTTCCACTAGCTGGATGATGAGAACACGGGAGCCCTAGGGAATAGTAAGGCCACACAGCAGAAGGAGGCCTGAGAAGACTCTTACATGAGCAAGAAATAAATTGTTATGATAAACCACTGGAAGTGCTGGGTTTGATAGAGCAGTTCACATTGCCCTGGTTAATATGCTGGAAGACAAAAGAAAATATGGGGCAAAAGAAGAGATGAAGGTCATCAGAAAACATGGGATAATGGATTCAGAAATGTGGGGACACAGAACCATTCCATCTCAACTGGGAACAACCTGGAACAAAACAGATCGGCCCTCATTCTTGGGGACCGAGGGGACTGTCACAGATACAGCATCCCTGACCATGCTTTTCCTACCCCATCATTCTTCAATCACCAAGTGACATCGCCTCACTAAACATTCTTTGGAGCATCTGCTTCTCTCCATTCCCACTGCTCCTATCCCAGGATGAGTCACCACCTTTTGGCAGGATCACTCCAGAAACTCTCTAACTAATCTTATTCTCCATCAGCTGCCCTTCTCTCCTGCCCCTCACGAATCCATTCTCCCTGCTGTGTTCAGAATCATCTTCATAAAACCAAAATGAATGGTGACCCACCTTCACCAGACAGATTAAACCCCTTCAATTAATTCAGTGTGATTACAATAGAGTCCAAACTACTCTGTATGATATGTATGGCCCTGCATGCTATAGCCTT